TTTATGCTCTTTTCTCTCTTTATACCCACAGGTAAACTTCGCCATGTCCACCCTGAGATGCAGACTACAGCAGGAGTTCACTGGCTAGCATGAGACCTTAGCATGAAACCTAGTCGTGGAAGGATTGGGGTGTGCATTCATGTTTTGCAGCCAAGAAAATTGAAAAACAAGCATGGAATGCAACAGCATCATGAAAGCGAAGAAAATAATAAATAAAAAAGACAAGACTGACACAAACATACATGATAGAAAACACACAAGTGAATAAAATTCCTTACACAAAACATCACTGTTACACTACATGTGTCACACAGTAAAGTTATAAAAAACGACCAGCATCATATAGTTGCAACTAAAAACATATTTGAAGCATATGCTGCTCCTGAGCAAGAAATTTGTGCTCTCTTGATAGAAGAAAACATATTTGAAATATCAATAAAGACAATCATTAATATTCTGTGTGCAAAAAGCCACATTTTGCCCGGTAACATAAGCCTTTCCTGCTTGTTCCGATGACCACAAGGCCGGAGGCTATCTGAAAACCAATTCCCTAGGGAATGCATTCATGCAATTTTTGAAATTCTTTCAAAGCGATCGCAGTACTTACACAAATGCCTCCGCCCCTGAGGCGTCGCCAAAAAAGTTCGGTGACATCTTTTCAGAAATAAAAAGCACCCACAATTTAGGGAGAGGCCTTACCTACATGTAAGAGGAAAGGAACAGTAGTGACTATTAAGCAATCAGATTATGATTGATACACCTGTACAAGAAAAAGCGTTGCATCTCATAAATGCATATGGAGGCAAAATTGGGTCACTATGTCCCAATTTACACATGCGGGCAAAAACCGTATGACAACTGCGTATTACTAAGCAGACCAGGGTATGACGACTGCCTACACCAAAATTTTCCTGTGTAAATTGCATGCTACATCGAGAATGTACATTCAGATTGTATGTTACCTCGAGGGCTAGCATACGTTCTTTATGTACGTCAAATCATTACAGTTTTTCGGGTGTGTGCACAGTTTTCGTACCCTCAGGTTTTTGCCATCCTGAAAGGAAACGCTGATTTGTCCTGTCAGATGCTACCCAACTGACACACTTGCAGCTAAGTGAGAAGCAGTGCTCAATTTGTGACCTAGGAGTTTGTGGTCTTGGCTACCATTGGTTTGACTTTGGTATCTCCAACGTACGCCAAAGAACAGGCCAACCGCTTGTCTCTTATAAAATCAGACAGGCTCGCCTACAACTCTTTGGCCACATAGCAAGCATGACTCCTCCCCCTGGAAGCTGCCAGTCTACTGAAGGAAGCCATGCCTGCAGGCTGGTCCAGACCCAGTGGCAGACCCAGACGCAGGTGGGGAGACCACCTGAGCACTGTGGGCCTCGATGTAGCCACAGCCTGGCAAGAAGCACAGGACAGAACTGGCTGGAAGACAACTTGGCAAGTTGCTACTCTCCTAGGAGCATGCTGTGTTGTTAGTGAGTGTATTTGTGGTGTCAGCCTCGCCTACTATGGCAAAGTAAGCTAGCTGTTGCACCCACCTTGTTCTCCGTCATGACGTACAAGTTCTGTGGGTCAAAGGCATCAAACTGCATGTCCTGCTGAACCCTGCTTCCCTGGACCACAGTTATCTCCTCATACGGGTTTGCAGCATCTCCATTCCACACCAACGCCTGAAACACACAGGCAAGCAACAACATCAGAGTCAGGGGGTAATTCACTTTGTAACAAGTACTCAATAGCTACTGTGCAGTAGTTGCTACTGTCACAGTAGCAGTATATGGCATATCTTCAAGCAGCTCTGTCCAGCAGGTCCACACCAGTAAGAACTTTATGGAGTGTGAGTGGTTTAAATAGTTTAGAAGGCAAAGCCAGACTACACTTGATCTAGTACCTACTGCAAATATCAACTAGCAAGATATCGCCGAACCAGTCTGTCCATTTCGACATTGAGAATAACTTAGAATTGCTCAAGAAATTGGGCATTTGAACAAAATCTATAGTACAGTATGGTTAAGCCTGGTCTAGAGTAAAATTGCTTAAAGCTTTCACACAGATTTCCATAATTTTTAAGAATATCAATTATGTATAAAAAATTTTAACTACACATGAATCCTACCTTGATCAGTTGGCCATTGGTTGTCCCCAGGAAGGCTGCGGTGTAGCCGTTGACAGTTGAAGCAGCGACACTCGTCAGTCCAGTTGTGGGGAACTCTGCCACAGCTGTACGGGTCAGAGCTTCTGTTCCTCCAAACTGTTTTGCGGTAAAGTCTGCGCCGCATGGAAATCGTTCAAGTAGTTCCTCCTGAAGGAAAAGAAAGTTCAAATATACTAACTACTAATTATATATAAGATACACAATGGACACAACAATTTTGGGTTATTAAATACAGTCAAACCTGTCCAATTCGGCCACCCAGGGGACCAAAGAAAAGTGGCCACCTTGGACAGGTGGTCTCCTTGAAGTGGATCACCTCTCAACATGACTGAGGCATAAATGGTTTACAAGTTGAGATGTTTTAATATCAAATGCTGTAAATGCATGTGGGGAGGGTGGCACATGGAACAATTTACCTCAAGCAAAAACATCATCCACTAGTCGAGGCAAACTGGCTGGTTTCTCCATGATTTCTCATTAGTTATCATCAATAATCAACATGATCGAAAATGATGTGGTGAGGCCTTGAGCGGACCCAACTGAGGATGGTCACGGTCGCGTTGGCCAGATGGTCACCTGGTCACCTTGGACAGGTTTGCTTAATGCTTGTGTCAATGGGGAAAACTTTTGGGACCATTTTTAAGAGTTGGTCCCCTTGGCAGGTTTGACTGTACTGTAATTCCTAATTTTTTCACAATACTTTTATGGTCACTATTTTCACAGCCACTCCTGTACCATGAACTTATCATTACCATTATCAAACCACCCCACATCCCCCACCATTTAATGAACATGACCGTTCTCCCTCGACCATAAAATTTCGCTACCTTGAAGACAAAGTGAACTACAGTATTCTTCAAGTGGTCTATTCTGACGACAGTTTCTAAATGTCACACTGGAAACTCAGACTCTTGAATGGTGTGAGGCATTCAGTAAATTAATACCATGCAAAATGGACTACAGCCCTGTAACACTACATAATCTACAGTGTAACAAGCTTTACTTGTTTAACAATATTACCAATGTGATCAATAGAAATGTGTATACCTGTTGTTGGAGGCAAGTACCCCCACCAAAAATCGAGTGGTTCAGCAATACCCCCCGCCTTCTTCTGTGTAGCAGGCTTTCTGGACTTTGTTGAATTCTGCATCGACTTCTGACATGGAGAAGACACAAAGGGCAGAGCTTTCCAGGGGTTCTTTGCCAGATGGAGTTTTACTGGCTGAAAACACACCAAAAAGCATCTCATCATCTTCTGGAAGGCCCATGTTCTGTGCAAGTTTCTGTCCTGGCTTGCTGACATACACGGCCTG